GGCGTCCTCAGCCCCGCTTCGATCCGTGTGCACGGTCAGCCTCAGGACTCCTGGGTGTAAATGTCAGTGAACACGGGTTGCACTCCGACCTTCGGACTGTACATAGAGCAGGCATACAAGTGGACACAGGTGCATCTTTCCCACAGTGATTAATAAACCTTTGGTACCTACAAAAAATTTTCTTTAGGTAAGAGAAATATCTTCAAATCTTTTTTCCCATCACATGAGGAAAAATGGGTGTGGGATGTGGGGATGGGTCTATGTAGGTAAGTATTGGAGAAGGCTATAAAAGAAATGGGAAACTCCCTTTCCTAGATACCTTCCTAATTTAAAAATTATTTAATATACTATACAGTACTCTGCTCTTAGATGAATTCAGAAAAAATGTGAATCCCCCTTTTCTGCCCTTCCAGGACTGCAATCCCTCAATGTTGCCAGGACCATGCCACCCTCTAGAAACAGCCTTTGCTTCAAAAGCAGAGACAAAGACGAAGGTGGGGGGGTTCCAAGTAGAGCTCATGAGTCTTGCAGGCTACAGATGTCCTATCTTTGGGAGTGCAGGTTCTTGGAGAGAAAACTGAGCGCATTGAGAACTGGCCAAGAATCTGGAAATACTTTCAAATAGATTACCACCCCACAAATTTATATTTTAAAGATGATGAATTTAATTGTCACATATAAAATTTAAAATCACTGGGAAATTACAAAAACAAAAAAGAGAGAGAGAGAGAGAGAGAAAAAAAAAACAGGGCCAGGGATTTAGTTCAGTGGTTCTGCTGCCTGCCTTGTAAGTACAAGGTCCCGAGTTCAATCCCCTGTACCAAAAAAACAAAAACAAAAACAACCCAAGAAAAAAACAAGAGAAAAAAAATCTTCAAGTTTCTCAGTAGGCATTTTAGTAAGACTAGACACACACGGAGACTGGGGATTTATTTCAGTGGTTTTACTGCCTGCCTGGCAAGTGCAAGGTCCTCGGTTCTATCCCCTATAACATACATATATACATACATACATAAATAAATAAATCTAGACACACACACACACACACACACACACCCCATGGCCTCCTGTAGCACGGGCTTTCCTCCTGGAAATGGTGGGGTTCTCGGGTTAGCTCTCCTCCTGCTGCATCTGGAGAAGAAGCCAGCTTTGAGCCCAGGACGGAGCCAGGCCCAGCATCAAAGCAGACATAGCAGTGATGGTACTGATGAGAAATATCACTCCCGGACGGCTGGACCCTGGACTTCACCTGGTCCTTTTTCTGTCTCCTTTCCAGTTTACAAAGTTCCCAGAACAATTTCCTCATCTTTCTATTTTCATTCCAAACTTCCCTTCCCTTGTGTCCATGCAGAATTCATCCGAGGAGCAAATGAATTGCTATTTACTGAAAACTTAGTATAGATATACAAAAAAATAGAATAGGTCCTCGACCAAACACAATTTATTTTAGCCCCATAACCACATGGGGAAGTATTACTCATTGGGAGGCCTGGTTTCACATAGGAGAACATTTTCATTACAAAAGATTAAACAACTGATATGTGCTCCCAAAAAATGTGCATTGGAAATTTAATCCCCAACGCTACAGTGATGGGAGGGAGGAACAATGAGAAGCGTCCAGGTCGTGGGGCCTCACCTCCATGAATGGATTGATGCCGATTATAAAAGGGCTCAGTTGAATCTTTTGCTCTCTCACACTCTCCTCACCCCTCTGCCATGGCTAATGCAGCAAGAAGTCCTTGCCGGACAGCTGCCCCTCCATCTGGAGCTTGCCAGACTCTAGAACCACGAGCCAATAAATTCCTGCTCATTATAAACTGCCCAGTCTCAGGTACTCTGTTGTAGCAGCACAAAATGGACTAAGGCCATAACTCAGCCTGATTCTCAACTGTAGGAAGTGGCTGAACCGATGCACTTTCCACTCGCACTGAGATCAATAAAACAAGTAAAACACAGTAGTGGGCCGAAATGTGCATTATCCAGTGGGAAGCAAATAATTTCAATACGTAATGACAGTAAAGTGCAGTAAATGCAGTAACAAGGTTCCTGTGAAGTAGCTTGGGAGTGGAGAGGAGGGAGCAGCAAGCTTAGGAGAGAGCTGCTAGTCAGCTCCTCAGGAAGGAGGTGTGGCGGGCAGATGTGTGCCCTGGCAGAGGGGTGAGCCGGGAAGTCAGAGGTGCTGAGAACAGTGCCCAACAATCCTGGGGGCAGGAGCCCACATGCATATGTGGGAGGCTATGGGTGGCTCTCCAGGCTACAGGAGCAGGCCTGGGCCAGGTAGAGAGGGACCTTGAGCTGCCCTGATTGTGGACAGTTGGCCCTGCTTGATGGGTACTTCCTGACTCCTCTCACCTCTCCTGGCAGACTACTTAAGCTTTCATCTCAGGATGTCCCTGCAGGCTCCATCTTCTCCCTTTCCTTCTGCCCAGACCTTGGTGGTCTTGGCAAGAAGGGAGAGAAAGGAGAAAGTCTCTGTTTCCAAGTCATATTCCCAAAGGGTGTTGACAAATGCCAACTGCTAAAGAGTCCACTATTAGCAATTATATTCCTTGAGCCAATGAGTCATCCTCAGTTAGGATATAAATGAACCGGAAGGAACTACTCACTAACTTATTAGGCATAAGCTTATTAAGTAGCTTATTAAACATTAATGTTATTAAGTGTTAACCTTATCCAGCAGCCTATTAAACCGCTTCTTAAGTAGGAGTCAAGGCAGCACCATGTAGTGAATAATAACAACGGTGATGATAATATTAAGAGCTAAGGATAAACTGAGTGGTCTCAGGGGACTTGGCACTGTGTCAGGCATGCGACATACACTATGTCCTTTAATCCTGAAAAATGCTGTCACCATTTCCCTTGCAGAGACAAGGGAGTTGAGGCTTAAGAGCAAAGCCACCTTTCCGCAGTCACTGGAGGCCCCTGAGAATTCAGGGGACAGAGCCTGGCAGGAAGGAGGCCAGGAGGAGGCAGAGGGCTAGGAACAGAGGCTGCTGGCAGAACCATGGGAGGGAGAGAAGTCAAGGTCTGGGGAACTGTATGCAGCAGGATCTGCTTTTCATAAAGTCCCCAAACAGAAGGCCACCACAAGGTATTTCCCAGGCTTGTATGTCTGTGTGTGTGAATATACATATAAGAGCAGTTCAAAAGTCATAATAATATTCACTGAATTCATCATAGGGGTCCCTCCAGGAGTACAGAGGGGCAGGGGACAGGACAAAGGAGGAACACACAGATAGATGTAAATTGCGGTTAATTTTTGTAGCTCTTAGGCTGGATGATAAGTTCACAAGCGCTTCATTATATTATTTTTAAAAGAAAAAAAAAAGCAAAAATCCTATTTTTGCATCTAAGGACCAGAAAATTTTTTAAAAAGTAAAAGACAGGGAGAATAATAAATGAACAGCCAAATACCCATTATCTAATTTAAGAAATAAAACACTGCAAATAAATTTGAAGCTGTCCATGTGCCCATCCCTAATTCCATTGTACTTTCATTGTACCTCCAGTATACCACTTCTGTGAATGGTATTTTATAATCCCTTTTAAGGAAGTTAGATTTCTAACCATTCAGAGTTGAGAATGGAGTAGATATATCAACAGGCTTTAGTTAAATCAGATGTTCAGAGCTGAAATTCAGTGGTACAAAATAGAACATCTATCCTGATTTTAAAAACTACTGAAACAGTTCTGTCACAAAGCCGGTGACACCCTAGCCACCCTAGCCGCACCTGGCACAGTACACAACCCTGAGCTTTCCTCAAACCAAGAAGGCTGGTGTGCTGACTATTCAGTTCCCATGCCACGTGAGTGAAACATCTGTAAGATTACCGCTTTGCCCCATAAGCTGGTGCTCGTGTAAACACCAAGGGCGCACTGTGAATCATACTGGGGTGCAGAGAACCCAGAAATGTGATCAGCTTTGGAGTTCAAGAATGGAGTCAGGAGGCCCGAGTTATAACTAAGGTGATTCCAGCAAGCACTCCCCTCTGAAGATCCCCAAGGAAATCCCAGCAGCCTGTCTCTCCCTGCAGCTCCCTGAGGCACTGAGCTACAGTACATGTCAGCCTGAATGCATCATCGGTCTGCTAAGTCTGCTGTCTCTCTGACCTCCCCAGGTAGCCGAAGCACTTCTCCGAATGTCTTGACTCCTGCAGTAGAAAATTTGCAATCACTCTTAGCTCTGCCTCATTCTCATTTCCTCTTTTGATGAGTATCAAGACCTATATAGCCATTGCTATACCGCTAAGTCCCTTAAATACAACTTTTCCTCCATTCCCATTGCTGTGGTGCCTGTAGGTTCCTAACTCAGCTCTTAGCCGCTGGCCCCTTGCTTCTCCACTTCCTCCCTGCACTGCCCAGCATTACCAGTCCCACTGGGTCAATTAGCTAAGTGCCTCCTTGCAGGCTGAAGGGAGGGCAGCGGAGCCCTCTGTCTTGGGGAGGAGGAGTGGCTTCTCACCACGCTGTTTAGCTTGGTGCTAATGCAGAGCAGACAGGCTTGGAGCATTTAAACTTTCCACTAGCAATGAATGCATCTGTTTTTGCCTACACCTGACCTTTGCTCCACCCACTCTCCTTGGTATGCAGCGGAGATGCTAGCTGTGCCTCAGTCACAGCCGAGAGAAGATCTGACAAAACAATGCTCATGGAGGTCTTAGCCCAGGCATCTGCACATGGTGAGCATTTTGTTAATAAAACCCTCATTACTAAGAACAGTGTTACGGATTCCTCGGGCCTTGTTTGGTTCCTGCCTTGGCACGCACAGCCTCCACGTCTGGCCTCATTCACCTCTTCCACTTTCTGGAACCCTATACTCTAGCTATACCTGACTTGGACACCCCAAGTTCTTCCACAGCCCCGAGCTTTTGCCAATGCCCTTCTCTTAGCCTGGAATGGATTCATTACTTCTCTACGGGTTTACCACTGAAGATCCAGTTCTCAGCAAGCTTTCTGTGAAAGCAGAATCAAATTATCAACACAAGAGGGACGGCTCATACCTGGAGCTTTCTTCCACGGCCTGCTGCTCATGTCTCCTCTGTAAAGCCGGCCTCGAGTACAGCTTCTGGAAGAATCTTAGCGCTACCCTCTGTCACCCAAACCATGTCTACTCAATATTCTGTTCAATACTTGTGTGTGGGGAAGTTGTTTCGTTTTATCGGAATGAATGGGAGCAGTTTTGACTTCACCCTAAGCCTAGCAAAGAGCTTGGCTAGTGACAGTTTTGGTTATTTTATGTAACCTGAATTGGACCCTCTATCCAACCGCCACGAAATATACTCCTAACTACTAGAATACTTGTGTTCCCAGGGAACTGACCTCAGTAACTAAAGGAGCACAGAGAGCAAAGCAGGGACAGCGCTGTCTTTACTGCCGTCCCTGAGAGGGCGCTGTTCCCAAATCAAACCCCCAGAGGCGAGTCCCGAAATGCCAGCTCTTTCCCACAGGACTCGGTCCGCATCCCTCGGCCGCGCGGCCAGAGAGCGCCTGCCCACAGACATGGCGGCGCCCTGCTCGGCTTCGCGTCGCCCGCACC